TTGAGACTGAAGTTGGAGACTCAGAAAATGTGAACACACCCGAGTTCACTGTATTGTTTCGGTAGTGTATGACAACAGTGTAGTTTTTGCCACATAAAAAAGCATCTGTGCTAACAATAATATTCAATTAATTGTTTCAGAACTACACACACACACACTTGGACACATCTGTGGCTTCATGCTCAGTTACATAGGAAATTAACATTGACATGATTTATAGTTAAATCTTGGGTTTTGTGGTTACAGTTAAGTTCAGGGATAGGAATGAAGGAATAAGGTATTCAGTGGAAGTTTGTGCTAATCACATAATGTCTGCACTTACCGGTGATTGGTGGTTTCTTATACTGGGCGCTCTTTAGATGCTCCTCCACCAGTTTGGGCGTCACACAGATAACGTGTTGACCTTTCCAGTACTTCACCATGTTGAGCGACTGCAGTGTGCTGATGATGTCACTCTGCGTGATGCTGGTCATCTGGCTGCGGATAAACAGAGGGAGGAGGGTCTGGCATGAGGATCAGTAAAACCAGTATGAACTGACGGGATGATTGGGGTTAAAAAGATAGAAGGGCTGGTTGTAAGACGATGAAGTCTTGTCAAACAGAGTATTTGTGTGACTACCTGAGGTCTTTGATTGAAAGTGTTCCTCTGAAGTCCCTGAGGATCTCTAACAGGACCCAGGACCAGTAGCTTCTGTAGCTCAGCTTCCCCAGATCAGACAAAGGCTTCTCCGGAGAACCAACAGTGCTCTCCAGCTTAGACAGCTCATAGCCTACACACAGCAGGCAGAGGAGAGGTTTTTATTACGAAGGTGAAATGATGATTCATGTGTTGTGCTTAAAATACATTTATGCAATAAATGTGTGTTAAGCGAGCCCATGTTATTGAATTTGACCATTAACTCTGCTGCAGTCTTTAGACAAGAGGTCGGCTCTATGCAGTGGATAATTAGTTTGATCAGTATCCCAGCTGCAGCTGAGACCGTGGTGAGTTCACATGTATAAGAATATTCCTACTTAAACTAGTCAATCAGCTTATAAGACATCAGACTGACAATGATGTTGATTAGCAATTGATCATCAACTAAAAATGAACTGATCAGACAAACATTTGCTGATTAGTTTCAAAAACACTAGGCCTTTGTAACTTGTTATGATCATTTCATCATTTTTCACAGGTTCAGCTATTACCAAAAGAATAGAAAAAATAAATAATATATTTCATCATTAGTGAAATGCTGTAGTACTGATGCACACACACATTATAGCTCCTGTCATGTTGCATCACTTACTGAAAGCTATGAGAAACTTCCCGTAGCCTCTGCGTTGGTACGGCGGTAGCGTGAGAATACACGCAACATTATTCCCGTCTGGAGACTCTTTCTCCTGAAAAACAAACCCAACAGTAACAGGTAAGGCCAACAGTTGTTATTTCATCTGTTCAATTCAAACCTTTTCGAAGATCCCCCGCATAGGTGACAGGTTTACACATTTAAGAAGTCTGTCATGCAAAGTGTGTAAAATTTGTGAAACAAGATTGATGAAAACATGGTAAACAACACAGAATCCCACACATCACACCCCTCAGTGATGATGCTTACTTTGGAGAAGTAGCCGACTATGTGCGCCCCCTGTTTGTTGACTTCAGTGAGGATGTAGAAGATAAATGGCTCCACATCAAAATACAATGTCTTGTGGTCAAGAAATAGTTTTGCTAGTAGACAAAGATTCTGACAGTAGATCTGCAAACAGAGCGACAAACAATCAGTACTACATCATCACAAATAAAAGTCTCTTACAGAATCTAAGTGCAGTTCTATTTTATTTCCACTTAAAACAGTGAGAAACAGACAAATGCATTGCATTTAGCAGCTTTACAGATGTAATCACCTTATGGTCCCGCCCATCAACTTCAAACACTGATATGTTGCTTCGTCTGTAGATTTCTTTCCCCGGAGGCTGCTTCCACTGACAATGAGACTGAAGAGAACAGTCATGGGTCAAACTTCTTGTATTTAGGTTGCAAGAGATGTACAAACATCACAATCAATTAATTGACTGATTGGTGCTACCTGCAGTGATGGTTTCATGTGATTCAGAAAAAAGACACAATTTTGGCTCAAACTGTGATGGCAGAAGGAAGAAGGAACAGATGTTGTTCCTAGTTGATCTCTTTGTTTGCAAAAAACATGAAAGATAATTCCACAAGAGGCACAAACTTCCCTATTTCCTAAACTGAAGTGAAAGCTAGACTGACCAGGTGATGTCTGAAGGTCTTCTCATACTTCATGTATTTCAGGCAGTACTCGCAGATCCACAGCTTGGGCTGCTTGCCATAATCTTCTGGAAACGGTGAGAAGTACCAGGCATCAATCTCAAAGTTTCCAATCTGGATCTTATCCACATATTTCACTTTGGTGATCTGTCAGCGAGAGAGGCAAGTTTGTACAGTGAGGAAAATTGTTTTTATTACATAAAAGACAACCAAACATTTAGGGTTGAAAAGTAAATGCATGAGCTAATTGTGCATAGGACACAGAAAAAGGTAACTAAACATAATGAGCCACAGAACAAGGCAGTTATAATTGCACACTTTTTTATATAAGTATGTCATTTTTAAAAGAAACCAACACACACATGCTCTCCACCTTACCGCCTCATGCTCCTTCTCTAGTGCAGCTGTTGTTGGGTCCATCTCTGCATACGTCTGCAAAAAGAAAATGCATTAGGTACCTACAACCATTTAATACATCAGAGTGCCACCACCAACAGAATGAAAGAACTACATAACATACTCAACCTTCTGCACATGGTTGATCTCATCATGCTTGCGCTTCTGGTTGCGGGTGATCTTCCTTTCAGGCTGGTCACCCAAATCACCAACACCTCCAATCTCTGTGCTCTTTCTTACTGCATCCTTCACTGTCTTGGTAAGTGCTAGGCGGGCCTTCCCCACCCACTCATCTAGGCGCCTGTTGACTGCATGCCAAAGAACGGGAGAAAGTCATTGTGGAGCAGTAAGTGAGGGGGATAGAGAGGGTACAGGCAAATGAGGGTAGAGCAGGGATGATTCTGTGTGCACTGGATTCATGAGTGTATCAACAACTGGTGATGTACTCACATCCTACATAGTGAACATAAAACTCCTCCCTGCCCTCCTGCTCATTCAGTCGGGACTGAATAACTTCTGCCGCATCTGAAAAATAAGCAAAATCCATCAGTTAATGTTCTGCCATAAAAAGCGGTTTTCGCTAGTGATTGTTGTCAGCAAACTATCTCGTTTGGATTGAATGTCTAGCCAAACTTCATTCGGATTTCTAAGACTTAAATTCAATCTTTTTCATTAGCTAATGTGAAATAACACTTACTGTTATTTCTCCTGCAAAAACGGAGACGATTACGAATTGCACCATTCCTCAATTCGGGAATCCCATTATAGACCAAACTCCAACTTTATCCTATTTACTTCAGTAAATTATCAACTCTTAGAAGCGACAGTTTGCACTGTTACGATCTATACCGAATTTTCCAGAAAGACCACTCGTTAGATAAAGTAGTTTAATTACGTCTTACTGTCGTAAATACGCTTACAGAGAATTAGTGAGACTAAATTTAAATAGAGTTTGGTGTTGAGTCCTTAACAAAACAAAGGAGAGTAAGCGCCACTAACGTTGATCTGTTAACTGAAATTTGGGTGAAACAGGCAGAGAAGTGGATTCACTCACGCCATGTCTTGTCGGCTCTTTGACATAAATACGTCTCTCCGATCTCGACCGACACCTCTTGCTCTCTACCGCTGCCGAGCATTCCTCCCCCGTCCGGCGTGTGCTGACTACTAGAACCCCCGGCTTGTCTCCCACGTCCAACGGCCTCCGTCTCGTCCTCTTCCCCGCCACTGCCGTTAGAAGAGCACGCAGCCGGGATACTACTGTCCAGTTCCCCCCGTTCACTTTCAATATGACTGGAATCCATGTCTACATCCATTCCGTACTCCGAGTCTTTATTGTTGTTATAGCTTTTGTGAAACTCGGTCCCGCCAGTCATTACCTCCGCCGTTTTGAAAACAACCACACGCCTCTGCGACCCTGCGCAGATTATCCAGAGGGGTTGGTCCTCAACAACAAACTGCCAAGATGGCGTTGGCTAAACGTAAGTTCCGCGTCTCTTCCTCCCAACACGCCCCTCCTTCAACGTTCAACAACTACAGCTCCCGTGAGTCTTAGCGGCTTGTTGTTTTATCTTCAATATAAATATGAGGCGCTCAACTTAGTACATTAGATCATTTAAATTCAGGGCTGAACTAATCTTTTAGGGAAATGAATATTAATGTGGAGCCAGTGTATTGGTTAGAAATTATTAGTTTGTAGGTATTTGAGTGAACACAATGTAAAAATAGATAATAGAGATTTAAAATTATATTTTAACTCACCATCCTTCTCCAAGATGGGTATTATATAATAATGCTGGTATCACCATAAGCCCCCTGTAACTGCTATTTATGTTGTGCTTCATGAGGTGGTATTCAGTATTACACAATTTATAATCATCATAATAGTCAAATTAACACTACCAACAACTCTAAATGCATAGCTTTGAGACCCCGTGAGGGTCTAGGCCCAAAGCAGTTGCAATGTTTTTTAAAAAGCTCACTATATACCTTAAAAATGTTTAATCTGCAAAGTAACCAGTAACCATATCTGTGAGCTAAATGTAATAAAGTACAAAAGTTCTGCTACACGTAGTGGAATAATATAAACTGGACATTGCCCGTTGTCCCACAGAACACCACCACTCAGTCCCGTCTGGTGTATTGCCATGTTAAGATAGCTTCAAATTACAGCATTATTGTCGTTGTCAAATGTCAATACATATTAAAGATATATTACATATTAAATATTATATATTCACACTGCAACAGTCACAGCTGATGCAACTGAACTGAACAGGAATGAACCTTATTACAAAATTGAATACAGACACACTACCACACTGATGTCCAGAGAAAATTTAATTTGTGGTTCTTTCAGGTCATATTGCATCACAACAAAAAACAACAACCATCGGTGTCTGATATTAGTGTGCATGAAAGGGTATATCAGAGACCAGGATAGCGGTGATGTACAGGGTAGGACACTAGAGTGAATGTCATTTCTGCTGCAGGGCTTTAATCTATGCAAACTCATTATGGAGGCACACACACATTTGTTCATTGGCCCTCCTGTTGCCCTTTGTCATAGCACCTCCTCTCTTCCCCTCTCTCTCTCCACCACCTTCTGTTGGAAGCCCCTTCCATGACCCCGGTGGGGCCCGCCTCCTCTGCTGTACAGGTTGTTGGCCCCTCCCCTGCTTCTTGAAGCTCGCCCGTCCCAGTGGTATCGCGCGGGCCCAGGGCCCCCGCTGTGTGGGGCAGATCGGTGAGGGCCCTTTCTCCTTCCACGATAACCACGGCCGCCTGCAGAGTCTGCGGCATCTTTTTGCCATTCAGTTTCCAGACCTGACTTGCACACTGGCTGACCGTCTGGAGAAACCTGCTGCTGCTCTGCGTAGACCTCCCTGCCTGTCTTTGACTGACACAATTCTGCATTTACTTGCATATGTTGGTCATGATTACCCTGAGCTTGTGCTCTTACTGGTCCTTCAGTGCAGTCTGAGGACAGAGAGAGTTTGTCCAGCTGCTCTGTGACGGGGGCGGCTCTCCCGTGTTGAGGTCTGGACCTGCCTCCTCTCCTCGGCCCTCTCACCTGGTTCTGACGCCTCTGGCTCTGAGCGCCTCTGCAGTGGGACAGTCCAGGAACAAACTGGTCCTCTCTGACACCAGTTTCATCAGAGGACACATTAGAAGCAGAGGGTACCGGAGGGCTGGGGAACATGTCTGCGTCTAGGTTTCCATTTTCAGCGACAGATGGAGTCTGTGGGAGTTGGCATGCATCGCTGTAAATGTTTTTATATAACATTATGTAGGAACAGTCTTAATGAAGCAGCTTTGGGGTTGTATTGATAGTGCTGGGCAAGCAGTTTGCATCTACTTTTTTGTGCTAAGCTAACATCTCCCAGTCCTCCATTTCCTTATCTGACTCTGGGTTTAAGCTTGACTAGTTATTTCGTACAAAACAGAGGCCAGATTGTCTATCAGCTATATACAGTCACTTGAGTGGAAGCTATCATACAGCAGTATGACAGTATAAACAATTGTGTCAGACTGTATCTTGTGGCCACCAGTGGAGCACTGAGCTGCTGATTAGCTCTGCAGGAAAAAATCCTGAGGGATTTCAGATTTTTCATGATGTATTGATTGTAATCACTTGACTTGGTTTGAGTTTTTTTGGGACATTAAACCTGTTTTTTTTTCTGCCTGAGAAGTTGGTAAGAAGATTTCCCAACTTTTGATGAATTTGTATTTTAACACTGTTCCCATAAAAATATTTAGAAATGCCAGAAAAAATAAAGTGTCCAGGTGATTTGTAGTTATGACAGAAATAAAAAGACAATTTTTATGCTCTGATTTTGTAGCCTTATTACAAAGGAACATGATTTTTCTAAAATAATAATAATAATAATAATAATAATGAAGATTTCCCAACTTTTGATGAATTTGTATTTTAACACTGTTCCCATAAAAATATTTAGAAATGCCAGAAAAAATAAAGTGTCCAGGTGATTTGTAGTTATGACAGAAATAAAAAGACAATTTTTATGCTCTGATTTTGTAGCCTTATTACAAAGGAACATGATTTTTCTAAAATAATAATAATAATAATAATAATAATAATAATAATAACAAACTAACGATAAAATGTGGGCTTGCTTTCAATAAATTCTCAACATGTTTGGGGCCTTATGAAACTGTGTTATTGAGATAAACCTGGTAAAGAAGGTGCCTATCACAAAAGTGAGACATGCAACATATATCTGAACACTCCAGTCTGAATCTGTCGTGTGTCAGACACAATTAAAAGAAACAAACAACTTGAATGTTATATATTATAGTTACAGGATATATAGTTTATTTTTATACTGGTGTAAGGTATCAGTCGCAGGGTTGCAGCCTATCCAAATGTGGCCGTGTAATTTCTGATTCAGCCTTACCTCATTGATGTGGATCAGAAACCGATTTGATTCCTCCTCCGGGTCGATGATGCCACCTTTAGACCTCTGTCTTTCCAAAAGCTTCTGGAGTTCAAACCACTTCTGTTGAAAGTCTGAGCCAATGGCTGCTTCATCCAGCTGAGAGAAAAACACAACACAAGTCTGATGCTTTTTTTTTTAAACAGTCAAACTGTTGAGGTGTAAAGTTCCTTCCTGATCCTGGAAACATCAGTGAGCAAAACCACCTCCCCATGAGCTCCATGAGTAAAGGTGGTCATTGACCTCATGGTTTTACCTCAGGCAGCTGGGGGGCAGGGGACGACAGCAGCTGATCAACATCATACGCCAGAGGTTCTCGACACACCGGACACACCACAGTCAGCTCCTGTTGGAGGACTCAAAGTGAGGATTCAGTGTTTCTTTGATCACAGTTCTTTAACTGTCAACACATCAGCTGACATCAGACCTGACAGTCTGCTCTCTCTCTGGTCTTGTCCTCCTCCAACTCCTTCTCCCTCTGGCGCAGCTCCCCCTCAGAGTGGCTGGCGTAGCGGCCGAGGCAGTGGGAGTGGAAATAGTGGTAGCAGCTCGTCTTGGTGAACGTCTCCCCCTCCTGGCAACACACGGGACACACAGCAGCAGGACGGGGTGAGTTACAGTTTTAGCAGATGCTGATTACAGGAATATTTGTGGTAATATTTAAAGACAAGAGACATGAAAGCACTATTAATTTCACTTTTTGATCACTTGTGTGCAACAGAACTGTACCTGTACATTTCATTTTAAAATATGACAAAAAAATAGGTCTCATTTCATTATCAATAAATCTACCAATTATTTTCTTGATTAATCGATTAATGAAAGAAAACAATGAAAAATGTCAATAAACATTTCCTGAATTCCACGGTGACAAACAGTTTCTTTGGCCAACACAAAATCATAAGATACTGAATTTACTATCAATCGTCATAAATGACGATCTGGAATATTTGGGGATTTTCACTTTAAAAAATGAAATACAAAAATTATTTCAACAAGTTTCACAATCACATCTTCATCATCTATAACAGATTCCATAAATCACTGGCAAAACACATTTTCTGTGCTGTAGAATAAAGGAGAAATACTACTGAACTCATCCATCTCATCCTCTTTTCCAGGATTCTGAAACACACTGAGCAAACTGAAACAACATTTCTCATCATCTGGACTCCTGAATATTTCAGGGTTTTGTGGAGTCATTTCATGACAAATTAACTTTGTTTAATCATCATAGTTTGTACTGTGCAAAAGACAAATGGGACTCTATTCAATCTGTTTTCTCTACTCAATATTTTTGAATCTGGCAACATCAACATCCAGAGGAAGAAGAGCAGCTGTTTGAGATTAACAAGACATACGAGTGACTCAGGGGAAAGGTTTTTGTTTGACATCCATGAAAACAGTCTTGGCTTTGAAAATAAAACAGTTTCCTGCCTGTTAACACATCCAGCAGGCTGGAGGTTATGTTAGCTTTCACTTGATGAATGTAAGTCCAACATTCACTCCATCCTTTTGTAAAAATATTGATTAGTGCAGCTTCAAAGCTTTTAAACTGCTGAACTCAACCCTGCTCTTACTTTTCAACAGAGATCAGAGTTCAAAATTTAAAAGGTTTCATCCTGAATCAGGAAAAATCCTGAAAGAGACTGTTGAGGAATTTTTAGACAAAAAAAAAAAACAACATAAAATAACATAAAGCTTTCAGAGATTCTGTCAGTGACAGATGATGATGAGAACAAAATCATGATATTCAACATCTTTCGCTTCTTCATAAAGGGTGTGATGGGACAGAAGGCAAAGTGACTGATGGGAAATGAGGTGGAAACCCATGGATACACAAACAACTCACCTTAAATCCATAGAGGCAAATGACACAATTTCCATGAGGAATGTTGCTTTCAGTCAGGATTTCTTTTGCTTTCTGGAAAAGAAAAAAAGATGGATGAGAGTTAAAAATAAAAGCTTAATAAAAATATTACTAATCAGTATAATGAAATAATAATTCCACAGGTAATTATTCTCTTAAATGAAAAAAACTATAGTGACCTCAATGAGCTGGTACAACACTGGCGAACCCAGACAGGACTGAGCCTCCAAGTGAAGACACTTTTGGACACTAAGAAAAAGAGGTTGCACATGATTATAGGGTTTCACACTGGTTATATAAAGCTCCTCGGCAGAGAACAGTGATACTGGTAAATGAGACACACAGAGAGAACAGAGTCTACTCAGTCTACATCTTCAGTTCATCACCTGCTGAGCTTGTCATCAGAGAGTCCCCGGGGGTTATGAATGGAGATGGCTGGAGAAGATGAAGGGTACTAAAAATAGAAAAACGGGAGCAAGACTCTTTACTTATGTTCATCAGCATTTATAATGATACCAAAAAACAGAAATTCTAATTTCAATAAACCACAACGTGACTCTTGTAACTTTCATTTCATAGCATCTAATACTTGGCATTTTGTTTTCCTTATGCAGAAACTCAGCATAGACAAATGCCATAGATAATAGAGAGGGGGTACCTGCTGATCGAGCGTCAAAGTCAGGGTGAGTCGGACGAACTGGGAGACCGAGTCCTCCGCTGTGGACGGGTACAGGACCAGACTCACCTCCCAGCCCCTGGAGGACAGAAAACACCAGCAGCCTTTAAAAACAAAGAAAAGCACCTAGAGGCTAAATGAAAGTCAGTGTCTTCAGACAACAACATGGCTGACGCAATAAAACAGCACCACAAGGCCCAACAGGCCACACAAACCACGTGCTCAGTGCAGACACTCTGTGCCAAACTCTTATTAAAGAAAAAAAAAATGGCAATTTTATGTTTCCTTGCTCATGTACAAAACATTATATCACCTAAAGATTTCAAGATCTTTAATCAATAGAAAAAAGTTGCCCATACCCCAAATTAACTTATCTGAATGATCTCTAATTATTTACCGATTATGCTGATTCATCTGAGGTCTTTTACTGAGTCATCGACAAGTCTAAAAGGTGCTCTAACTGGGATGTTAATCTGATGAACAATCTGCTATGACACTGACAGAAGACACTCATCCTAAGAGATAACAGGGGTCTCATTCACTATCTAATGTATGCTAATAACATCCAGGCCTGAGAGGACAGTTTTAGTTTTGTTTATTACCATTTGTTTGTTCTGACAGGTGTTAGTGTAAATGCCTGATGAGGATTTCAGATCTATTGCCTCTGCAAACGTTTTCACCAAAGTTTATCACCTTCTGTATTTTAATGGGTGTTTTGGTGACACTCTGGTGCCCCCGTAGAGAAGGGTGATACATTTGAGAGCAGATCAGCACAATTTGTCCCCTGACAGAATCTGAAACACTACGTGAAAAAAGATGGAAGTGTACACCACATATTAATTGGTGCAAAATGCTGAAATGACAGCTAACTGTTGTCTCACCCGTCCTCTCTCCTGTTCACTTGCAGTTCATCAAGGTAGATCGACTCTAGCACCTCGATTTCAGACAGCACGCTGCGGAGGAGAAAAACGGCTGCAGTTAAAGTGTTCAACTGTTTTTTTTTTCTGAGCTGTTTTTAACTGTTTAACGTTCACACAAAATAAGCTAGCGTTAGCACGTTAGCTCACACACTGTGCAGCTGGTTAGCTCCATCACACCCGCGACATTACAACAGATTTTACTAAGAGCACAGTGAATGACACTGAACAAATTAAGTGGAGGTTAAATACACAGTGTCATGAGATTTGAGAAGGTGTGGGGGGAGAATTCAGACATGCTGTCAACAAACTCACTCGCACTCCGCTGCCATGATGATGTTTCTGTGTGAGCCGCTGGGTGTCCCGGCTGAGAAGTGTCGTTATCCCGATTCAACACGCTAAAAAAACACGTAACCACACCACAAACTGAACCTCGTTACTCCTGCGACGGGCGTAACCTCGTTATTCCCGTACGCTCACATTGATAGTTTATTTTGAATGTCCTTACCGGAAGTCATACAATGCTATTATGTCTAACTTGATGGTGATAGTTCACTGTTATCATGAGTGTCGACTGCCGACTAGTGGCCTCAGCGCGCAACTGCGTCTGCATTGTAAAGGTATTATGTCAAAAGATGTATGATTTACAAAAAAAAAAAAAAATCTGTTCATTTATCGGGTAGCATGTACGCCCACCATCCTTCGCTATATTTCAAGGGGAGAAACGTGACAAACTCTAGATGTAAAATAGTACTTATTGTCCTTAGTTATACACTGCCCTCTCGTGGTCACAGTGCGTTTGCAAAAGTTTTATTTTGAATGTTTTACAGGAAGTATAACTACACTTAATATGATTAGCTTGATAGTAGTGGAGTAGTAGTTACACACCGTGGCCACCAGAGGGCAGACATATTCATGATTAGAAATACACTTATATTATTTTCATGTCTGCTGAGGTACACCTCTAACAGAAAACTGACAAACAATGAAAAACCATTATTTTTAAATATTGATTTTTTTTTTGTATTTAAAACCTGCAATTTTCCATTTCTAAACTTTGCAAAACTTTTTTCTTCTTCTTCTTCTTCTTCTTCTTCTTCTTCTTCTTCTTCTTCTTCTTCTTCTTCTTCTTATCATTATTATTATTACATGTCAATACATTTAAAAATGTATGATATTGAATTTGTTCACTAGAATATTTAGTAGCTTTACTTGCCATGATTTATAATCACGATTATACACTGTCAAAATGAGTAACTACATCAATTTCAAACGTTTTAGTTTGAATGTAACAGCCGGAAGTAGTACTACCGTTAATGTAGTTAGCTTGATGTTGGTGGTGTGCCGTTATAGTTACTCGCTGTAGCCACTAGAGGGCATAAATATTGAAAATATTGCATACATTCATAATTATATATATAAACTTTACGTCGGTAAATGTTAGAAAACAGTTATTAAAACAACTAATTACCGTTAACGTTATTACAAATACCGTTGTATTTGATACCGTATTAAACAGTGCTTGTTACCATATATTTAAGTAGGGTCCTGCAGTTCTTCATTGTGACCACTAGAAGGCAGCAAACACATCATTCTTGGGTCAGCTGTCAAGTCCATGTCATACTTTTTATGAAAACTTCCTGTGATTTTTCAAAATAACACTACCAGCGTAGTGCTGTAGAGGGAGCGTCTGAGCACCTGCTTTGCGTGAAACTCATTGGAAGAGTAAGGCGAAGAAGAAGAAGGAAGACGACACCGACGAAGAAGAAGAAGTAAACCCGCGATAAGCAAACGTTATGTTATTTTCATAACAGAAGAATGATATGAGCAACTATTATCTTATTCACATTAGCTAGTTTGTTGTTACTGAAGAAAGTGTAAGAAAATGGAGGAAACTGTGATGGAATCGGACTCGGCCGAAATTTCCGAACCACAACACGGGATCGCTGATGCTTGGGAAACTGTCACAGCAGCTCTGGTGAGTGGGGTTTATCGCCTGACTCGTGTGGCCAAAAGACCCAGAAGGCAACATGGAGGGGACCGATGCTGCCGAACCACATTCAAATATCTAACGATATAATATTTTCTTGCTCGTGGCTGTGGCTAACACCCAGTGGGACATGGCATGTTCGGTTAAATTCGGCACATCTGTGTCTCCGTCTCTCTCTTTCTTTTTTGTCTCTGGTTGTGTAAATTCTGTCAGTGCTCTGCTCTACTGGCTGTTTGCCTCTGTCTTTGCAAAAACCAACGTCAACTAACTTGCTATTAATGTTTAATATCATAATTTTAATGAAAGAGGTTTTCCTCCTGTTTCCAGATTTACATCATCACATTGCTCACTGAAGCTCAAACACCCAACTAAAGTAAAAGGAAAAAAACATTTTTGACTAGAAGTGGCTTTTACAGTAACTGCTCTGATGAAAGCTTTGGCCAAGGCCTAGATACTGTAAGTGCAAGTTCAACACAAAACCTGACTCAAGAGATTCAGAGTTAGTACACAGCCTCATCTGTGTTTGGTCCATTTCCAGGTGTCTCCTGGCTTCTCAGTGACGGAGCAGAGCCTCTCGAACTCCCTGGCCCTGCTGTGTGGTCAGGGTCTGGGACAGCTGGTGGGCGGCTGGCTGCTGGAGACTCTGCAGATGCGTCTGTCCTCCTCCGTGGTTCCCGAGTTCTGGTCCGGACTCAAACAGCCAGAGAATGACCTGGAGGAGAGAGGCAGGGCCTGGGTTCTCCTCGCCACCTTCCGGACTCTGTTGGACCGACTGGAGCCGTTCCTGGGCAAGTAGAAAAACTATGACTGGATAAGTTGACAGTAAATCACAGGTTTTCTCTGTTTATGTCAGGGGTGCAACAGCATTCAAACAACCCCTCTTCCTCCTCCTAGGTGGTTTGGAGCGGCTGGGGATGTGGCAGGACGAGGGCCGGGGCGGTCTCTGTGGCCCGGGGCCCAGGGGCCTTCAGGAGCGGGCCTTCACCATCATCAGGGCCCTCCTCCTCTTCTCCCCCTCCCCTGTTCTCCAGGAGCGAGTGCTAGAGTTTTACAGCAGGACCTTCTCTGTCTATATGAACCAGGAGGGGGAGGCGGAGGACGGGGCGGAGGCTACTGACAGCCCAGAGGGAGGGGTCTGCCCAGGCTGTGGGGTTCCAGCACAGCAGTGCTGGTGTCAGGAGGCCCTGGAGCAACTACAGGAGCTCAGCCACATACTGTGAGTGGACTCAGGAAGGGGGACAGTAAAGATCATTTATGCATAAATAACACACAGCTGATCATTTCCAAACAACTTTTACTTTTTTTTTTTAACCAACGCACACAGTCTGTAGTAGTATTTTAAATTCATAACTTGTGTCATATTTATAATATAGTGCTTTTCTTTTGTCAACACCCTCTGCTGCACTAATCAATAATTTTATAATATGAAATGTTGTGCTCTGTGGTACAAACCCACATAGAGTTACCTCTTAGAGTTTCCCTTCAGCCTTTTAGCCTCTTTTAGCTCCTAGTTTTGGTTTTACAGAACATTTTCTGTACAGTTCAGTCTCAGTGTTTCCAGCAGCAGCTGTTTACATGAATCACACTGATAAAGCCACTGATAAAGTCCATGACCTGCTCAGCAGCAAACAGCAGACAGACGGTCAATTCAACTAAACAAGTTTAAAAATAAATCTGCAAATGGCCACCAAAACAGACAACCACATACTGCAATACATTACAGATTAACTCAAATCAGGGTAAAGTAATCTTAGATTCAGTTAGAAATTAGGTGTTTTTCAAATGCAGCCCAGCCCACATCAGATCCCACTTTGTTCCAGTTTACATTCGGAATTTTTGCACTTGAAACGTGAAGCAGCTGATGCAGTCAAAACTAAATTAAAGTAAATTCTCAAGGTTGTTTCACAAAGTGCTTCTCCTTTCCTTGAAGCAAACAACAATGACAAACAGACAGTTTAGGAACTACATTCCCACAATATAATTTTCAAAATCCATGACACTACACAAAGCTTCCTAAAGTAAAACATGTTTCCTCTTTGTTATCTTGGGAAAAACAGGATGCAATAAATCTGAAATTCGTCCAGTATGTTTGGTTTGAAGCCGGTATTGAAACAGTACATGATGTATTGGACATTATTTATTTTTTATTTTTTCATTTTGTAGTTCAAAACTCCAGCTGCTGGAGTGGGTCAGCTCCGAGGCCGTCACCTCCATCCTCCACAAGCTCATCGAGCAGCGAATGGAGCAGCACTGCAGGGGCGAGTACGAGTGCTCCTTCCTGCTGGAGTTCCAGGAGGTAAAACAAGATGATCAGTGAATGTTAATCATGAAGTTTTTTATCAGGACAAGCCTCTTCGTTAGCCGTTAGCTGGTAGCTAATAGGTGGTGGTAAGGTTGATTTTTCCTTTTTGTTTTTGTGTGAGCAGTGGCTGGAGCTGGTGCTGGGCTGGTTAAGCAAAGTGTTTGCAAGTGAGGCGGACACAGAGGGTCCGGTACCTGCTCCCAGCATTCCTAGTGCACCCAGCACACCCAGTGCTCCCAGCATCCAGGCTGGCCAGCCCACCAGCCCCATCCTGAAGCAGTGGAGATGCCACATGCACCAGTTCTTCTGCAGGATCTACGTCAACATGAGGATCGAAGAGCTCTTCAGCATCATCAGAGGTGAGAGAGAAAACAGCATGTTACTGGTTGTGTTGGTTACGTCCCAGCATGTCTTCAAAGTCAGTCAGTCATGCTTTTAATCAGAATTGAACTGGAATGGTAAATACGTTTGGTTTCTTTAAGTGACCAAAGATTTTTTGCACAAACAGGATTTTTTAAAAATGAAAGTCCAGAGATGATTGGTCAGTTTATGAAGGTTTTTTCAGGCTAACAGTTTCCACCTGCTCCAAGTCTTTGTGCTAAGCTAGGCTAAATACGTCCTGGACTTATCTGTATCCTGGACACTCAGAGATGAAACTTCTGACTGGGGGAAATACAGATAACAAAAAGATTTGCTCAGATTTCAGTGTCATTTTTAAAGGTTCAAATCTGCCCTGCACTTTCTGTCCCTGTTATGTTCTGTAAATAAATCATACAGTACAAAAACAGCGGAGCCCAGACATCCTCATCGGGTTTCTGTTATCACAGTTTGAGTTTATACTGGAAATGCTCAGTTAGGGGGACTGAAATCAGCTGACTGTGACTTTTCCTGTGTTTATTTCCATGTGTCCTGTCCCTCAGATTTCCCAGAATCCAAAGCTGCCATTGAGGATCTGAAGTTCTGTCTGGAAAGAACCAATCAGAGACAGCAGCTCCTCACCTCATTAAAATCTGCTTTTGAGAGTCGTCTTCTGCACCCAGGTTAGTGAGCAGCGTAAGATACTGTAATGTGATGGTTTTGGAGCTTTCATGATATCTGTATGATATATATAGTATAGTATGTGCAGTGATTAGACAGCAGAACCAGAAGCTATTTGAAAATCAGTTCAGATTTATATTGAGCCTCTGTGTCTGTTGCACCTTCCGTCCATAGGCGTTCACACGTCTGATATCCTCACGGTTTACATCTCGGCCATCAAGGCCCTCAGAGAGCTGGACCCCTCCATGGTCATCCTGCAGGTCGCCTGCCAACCAATCCGCAAATACCTCAGGTGAGTCACTTTATACTCATGTCGGTTCTTTTCTTACATTAAATATGTAAAATATTCAATTGTAATCTTGCTTGGTATGAAGTGTAATCATTGGTGGTTGATATCTTTGATCTCTCTCACCTTCATCCTCATCAGCTGGTCACAAACGTAATGTAAACATAGTGTTTTCTTAATGAAGATTGGAAATAAAAACCTCCTTAATCCTAATGGGAGATTATAAAGATCTTTACACCTTCAAACTAGAATTTATCACCTCATGATTGTTTCCTTCACCAACCAGTCGAGTTGCAGAAAATATGGTCACAATCTCCCGTTCCTGAGTTGCAGTGTTGAATAATAACTAGACGTGTTTTTGCAGAACATTATGCCGTCACAGTGAAGTTGACCTCTGCACCAGTGACAGAGGCATAGAAATCACAATTTACAGTAAACAACTATTGAAAATTAAATATAAAGCATGAAATTTGAACTAAAACACAAGAACAGATAAATCAAGACAGTTTCTACCTGTATGCTCAAACAGCTGACGTTTAAGTCTCTCTGGTGCGTTCCAGGACACGGGAGGACACGGTGAGGCAGATCGTTGCCGGTCTCACTGGAGACGCTGAGGGCTGCACTGACTTGGCCTCCGAGCTGTCACGAGGAGACCCCGTGACTCTTGAGATGCAGGATAGTGATGAAGAAGGCAACCACCCAGAGGACTGGACCCCAGACCCCACCGACGCCGTGCCAGGTCAGCGAACGCATCATATCTTAATGTACGGTGTTGTTCAATTATCTGAACTTCACTAATATGTCTCCTCTGAACATGTGTCAGACAAAATGGGCTCGAAGCGTCGCTCGTCAGACATCATCAGCCTCCTGGTCAGTATCTACGGCAGCAAGGACATCTTCATAGACGAGTACAGAGCCGTGCTGGCTGACAGACTGCTGCACCAGCTCAACTACAACACCGCCAGGTACATGTGCACAAACAGGCTTCCTCTTCACACCTCGTGATCACCGCTTAGACTTCGATGTGAATGAGCCAGAAATTTGTAATTACAGACAAAGATGAAGTTCGGGTTTTAACTTGATAGATTTTTGTTTTAAAGATCTACAAATTTGAATCAATTCACTTTTGTTTTTTTCATAGACAAGGGTGAAACAGGTAGCTAATGACCATGAACGAACTGAACTGACCATCAGCTGCTGGCTGGTCTTCGTTGCCACGTGATGTCATCATCTGATGTCGTTCTATATATTTATTATTTTTACTGTTTTGTCGTCTGTTTGCAGGGAGATTCGTAACGTGGAGCTGCTGAAGCTCAGGTTCGGGGAGTCTCACATGCATTACTGTGAGGTCATGTTGAAGGTAAACACACTCCTGTTTTAGTCACTGCAGTCATTGTTACAGTCCTCTCTGAAATATGCACTGATCTTATAACATTGACTCACAGATATTCAGCTTGTTTTTTTCCACCTGCTGAGTTTTAGTGGAGAACTTTACTCTTATCATAATATATTTGATTATAAACAGAAACTGACTTTCACTGCTGTTTACTAGGGAAGATAAAATAAATTGTTTTAAATTTCAAATCTATAATTTCCCTCCGTGGATAGAGACAGGAAACAATAGCACTGTCTTCTAGATATGTTTAAATAAAAGTAAAACACATTGTCTCCCGTTCCTCTCGTCCAGGACATGGCAGACTCTCGCAGGATCAACAGTAACATCCGAGAGGAGGAGTCGAGGCTGAGCGAGGAGGAGCAGCCCCCACTGTCCCTGTCAGCCATCATCCTGTCCTCCGAGTTCTGGCCTCAGCTGAAGGAGGAGAAGCTGGAGCTGCCCCCGCTCGTCTGCCAGGCCATGGAGGCCTACACACACCGCTACGAGAAACTCAAGGTGGAGTTCACCTGCTGCTTCCTGGTTCTTCTGTGAGGCCAGCGCTGGGGATTTAACGTCTGAGCATCTCAACCCTGTAACATCAGTCTGTCGTCTGCATTTCAGGCCATGAGGACGCTGAGCTGGAAGCCTCACATGGGTTCAGTCACTCTGGATGTGGAGCTGGAGGATCGCACCCTCACCAACCTCAATGTCACTCCCATCCACGCCGCCATCATCCTGCACTTCCAGGAAAAAAGTACGCTCTTTCATTTCATTCTTGACGGGAGTGAAGAGTTGATTTAAAATTCTAATCAAATCTTGAGCTTGATTTGTGCTTCTCAACACTGGCTTCTTCATTCACATAACAATAACATTTTACTAAATTACTAGCCAGGAAGTTGAATTTAAAAGATCAACAGCATTGTCAGATTTCACTCGTCGTAAAGTAGCTAAGTATTTGCTAGTGGAAGATTTGTTTTCAAAGCTCAAGCTATCATCTTGAGGCTAATATTGATTCCTCCTCCTGAATACAGACAAGTTACTGTTGCTTAAATTCGGTGCAGTAGGAAAATATGGCAACAACCACAAATCAGGATATTTTTTAACATTTAAATGCAATTATAAATTAGTTTAGACTGTAGGTAGTTGTAGTCACCCAAGCTTAGAGACACAAGACTTTGCTCACCACAAATTCCTACACTAATCACATCAGCAGAAGTAGGGATGCACCGATCCGAGAACACTGGATCCTTCCCCGATTTTGACTTCTTAAAGCAGATCAGGTATCAGCCATGACATGATGGATCCACATCATATTCACTTTGTTTGTCAGTGTCATGAATATCTTCAGTGTTTCTTCTGTTTGTCAGCAGGCCTCCAACTCAGGTTTTAGTGCCTGTACTCATGTTGCTAAATATAAAACTGATATATAAATCTGATGAGGACGAGTCCCACACAGCAAACAGTCGAAGTTTGAGCTGAGGTTCTGGAAAGTTGACATAAAAACGTTTGTCGTCCATCAGGTTCTTGGACACTGGAGGAGCTGAGCATGAAGCTGGGCGCCCCGAAGGAGCTGGTGCACAGGAAGCTCGCTCTGTGGCAGCAGCATGGCGTGCTGAGGGAGGAGGCGGGAGGGCGCTACTACGTGGTGGAGACCGGTTCATCCAAAGAGAAGATGGAGAGAGGCGTGATGCTGATCGACAGCGACGAGGAGAGAGACTCCAACACCACCACCCAGTCTGAGCAGAGGGAGGAGAAGCTGCAGGTGCTCACACACACACACACACACACACTCACACACACTCACACACACTCAAACGTACAACAACAGTTAACAGGATGAAAAGTGAATGCATTGCCAAGAAGCCTCTGAAAACACTCAGTCTCTGTCTCTGCAGCTGTTCTGGGCCTACATCCAGGCCATGCTGACCAACCTCGACACGATGACGCTGGAACGAATCCACTCTATGCTCCGGATGTTCGTCGCCACGGGACCCGTTGTTACGGAGATGGACGTCAACGAGCTGGAGGCCTTCTTGCAGAGGAAGGTGAGGGAGCATCAGCTGATGGTCTCTGCAGGCGTCTACAGACTCCCCAAATCCAACTGAGGAAGGAGGAGGCGGGCAAACTGTTTAAGTGTGACACTGCGTTCATGTGCTGTGAGAAATATGAAAATGCTCTTCTGCTCAGCCTTTGGGTGAAAAACTGAAAAACTATTACAGACTGAGATGAACTCTTTCATCACCCACAGGTAAGTATCAGTCAATTTCAGGTTAATCCAACAGAATTTCCACCAGACTGTCGAACTGGATTTGCCAATGATATGAATGCAGCATAATTTTATGAAGGCTATTCCTCTGAAAAGTTTGGTTTTTCAAAATAAAAGCCCATCCACCCTCTTATGGATCTGTCCAGACAGTGTTAATGCTGCTAAGTTGTGCATGTTATTGGTGTTGAACACTGATGTAACAGACTGATGTATGATTATAAAAGCTCTTTAATATCTTGTGTTTCTTTGACGGCAGCCTTTTTTTTGTTTTTGCTGACAACTCATTACAGTTTTTCACTGAGCTGCACAAGCACCATGTGACAGGTTTCCAGTTTTGAGGATATTATACTGTTTTTTTCTGCAGTGGTTAGAAACATTTACTTCTCTGATTTAAGATTTTGTAATTAAAATACTCCATACGTAAGATTGTCACTGCAGAACTTTGATGTGTAATGGAATATTTCTACACTGAGGTCCTGCAGCTTTTACTTAAAGGATCTTAGTCTTCTTCTACCACTGTTTTTACTTTTTTGACAGTGGAGACAGACAGGAAGTACGGGGAGAGAAAGTAGAGGAGTGACATGCAGTAAAAAAATCCATTCAGCTGGGAGTTGAACTGGGGATCTTACTGCTCAGGGTTTTTTGCGCCCATGTGGTATGCACCCAAACCACTCGCCCCCGTTTTAATTTCTTGGAAGCATAGTTGAATTTCAATATATCAGCGTAATCGGGAAGGGAAAAAAACTAAATTTTTATTGGGTCAGAGTTTTGTTTCTTAAAAGACAATGTAATCTATTCAATATCATTCACCAGTTTGCGATCAACAGCCCATCTTTTAACTGTCGAGAGACATCAGAGTAGTCTGGATGATTTTCTAGTAATAGGTGCCCAAGTTAGTTTAATGTGTTAAACTCTGCTGCAGGTTGATCATCTTCATAAAGAAAATCTTTGAATTTTACATTAATTATTGTTCCAGCTGACGCACTGGTCTGTGTGGGGGGATGTTTTTGATACAAACAGAAAGTCTGGATTTATTGCTTTATTTGGATTTGGACACATTTGCTAGGCAACAGAGATTTACATTTAAAAAAAACAACAAACGAATGACGAACATTTTGGGCTTGTATTTGTCTCAAGGTTACACATACTGTTGTCTTAGATTACTGGCCTCATTTGAGTGAAACAAGGCATACACATACATTGGACTGCACTCGTCACACTGTTAGTGTGTCAAAGTTACGATTTAATAACAACTGCAACCAGTTCCCTTTCAGTGGTAAAATACTTGTTCTGTATTAAGAAAAACAAAAAGACGTCGGCACATACCAGTAGTTCACTAGAGCTAAGTTAAAGGACCAGACCAGTGTTGTTCTATGTGTTAGCTATTTTACTACAGTTACATACACTTCACATCTCACCACCATACTTCAAAGCAGATTGTAGTGTTTTTGATTTATGAATTTATCAACTTTACAGGAAGCAGTTTTTCTGTTTGTTTCACTACATGAAAATCAACTCCCAGAGACTTGAAACTATTGAGTTGGTTACAACATGCCTGCTCTGACTGTTTCAGTTATCTTATTTCTTTTACAGAAGTCTCACTTTAGCATAATCTTCTGTGATGCAGTGTTTCAAGCCAAATGTCATGTCAAAGCTAAAACTGGAAGGTTAAAGTCATTTTTCAAGCAAAATGCCAAACATGTTATGATTCTAGCTTCTCGTTGTCTTATTTAATAGTAGACTGAATATCTTTCTGGCTCGGACTTTCAGTCAAACAAAATAAGCTATTTGATGGCACCATCTTGGGCGTTAGGAAATTGTAATTGGCCCTTTTTACTATTTCCTGGCATTTCATATTCCAAACAGTCACCAGATTAATAGATAATAAAAATAATCATTATGTACAGAAGGCGTCCTGACCAGCCAGCTCCTCCATCCTCAGGCTTCAAAAATCTAAACCACTACAACATGCTTTTAAATTTGACTTGTAAGACATGGGCTAAAAAAACTTTTTTTTAAAAAACATCAGAATGGTCCTTTAACTCCTGTAAACTCCAAACTGCTACATATTGTCAGTGCTGACAGACTGAATCCCTCAGCCTCAGTTACTTTAACAACCTGTAGACTGTTGTGTTGTAACTTGGCGTCGTAAAGAGTGAACCGCACAGTTTCTGACTTTTTTTTATCTGCAGTTTGAAACACACAACACTTATCTCCTAAGGCACAGTTTTCCCAATCTTCTTTGCTTTTTGTGTTAAGCGATGAGCGTCGAGTGGCTTTGGTGTCCGTCTGTGTCTCAGCAGCATTTCTTCCCTCTCTTCCTGCGGTCTCTGTCTCTCTGGGCATTGATGTTGACTGTGTCCTTCTCCCGCTCTCGTTCCCTCTCGGCTCTGTTCTGGCTCTGCTTCTTGGCCCGGAGCACCATGCGGGTGAAGGCCATGAACATCTGAACAGAGGAACAACAAAACAGACTGAACCTTTACAGCTAATAAAATTGTTCTTTGGACACCTGAGGTTTGCATCCTTAAAAAGGAATATGGAGAAAACATGAGTATGTAGTTATAGATATAAATGCACCGATAACATTGCCCTGCTTGACACAAGTATGTATATAAAAACTGTTAAATGCAGTTTTAAGTAAAAAATTCTAAATATTAATTTTAAAAAATCAGTGTAAATATTGTAATATAAAGGAAGCCACTGCACGCAGGACATCTTGGAGTTACCTCTTCAACGTTTATGTTCTCCTTGGCGCTGGTCTCAAACACCCGAACACCCACCGACTCCCCAAAACGCACAGCATCCTGGGTATCCACCTGTTTCCTGGCAGGGTCATCGTTCTTGTTTCCCACTGAGAAAGAGAGCAGGAACTTTATCTCTGCACTTAAAAGACTACTGTACCTTTCTTCTGTGAAAACACTGTTTATGTTAATGGATGGTACTATTTCAACATTTATTATTTTCACCAAATTGCATGAAGAGACAAAAACCAACAATGAATTTATTCCACCACATTTTTTTTTTAATTAAAAAGGTCCCATCATGTATAAAAGGTAGCTGTCCATGTGTTTGTGATTATAAAGCAGGTCTAGGTCTATATTAAGAAAATGAGCCTTAAAACGAGCCGTCAGGACTTCTGTAACTTTGTGATGTCACAACAAAGCAGTCACCAACCTTGCAGCAATTGATTTCTCTGAGTGTTGACCTAAAATCTGATTTTTTTTTTTTTTTTAATTAGATCACTCAGAAAACAGTCAGCCAATCAGAAGAGAGGCTCAGAGCCTGTCTTCTTTTTGGTTCTTAAAACCACAAATATATCTCCATATGGATCAACACTTCAAATAAAATACCAGAAAAATGTAAAATATGGGACCTTTCAAATACATATATTGAACTTCCTGTTTTTGTTTTTTTTTTTTTTAGAATCTCACATTTTAAACTTCTACAGAACACACAGAAGGAACCTTCTAGTTTTGGTTCCTGGGTCATGAAGTCCGAGCTCCCAAAGCTGCTCTTTGAGTGAGCTGCTGCACAGGGCAACACACTGTCCCACCAATAAATGTGAGAATGTTTAACAGCATTTCACCATGCAAGTAACATGAAATTATGATTCTTTCAAACTCTCATTAACACTGTTGACTCACCTAAGATCTTGCAGACGGTGTCACAGTTCTGGGAGATTTCATTTAACCACCTCTTAACATTGACAAACGACTCTGGATTCGTCACATCGTAAACAATAATGACACCGTGGGTGTTTCTGTAGTATCTGGAAAAGGAAAGATGAAGCAGAATGAATTGGGTGATGAACCACCAGGTTAAAATCAAAGTGAGGAAAACTCCTGAACATAAAACCAGTTTTGGTCTGGAGATGATTACGTTGATGTGATGGTTCTGAATCTCTCCTGCCCCGCCGTGTCCCAGATCTGCAGCTTCACCCGCTCTCCTTCGATGTCGACTGTTCGGATCTTAAAGTCAACACCGATAGTGGTGATGTAGCTGCCTGCAGGAGAGCAGCGAATCATCAGAGAGCAGCACACACTGTGCAATATGTGAGGCACATTACCTCCATGCATCAGTCTTTGTCTCATGACAAATACAGCAGATACGAGTTTCAACATTTCCATCAGAATTTGTTTTTTGTCTGTTTTCTTTTGTCTCACCTACATTTTTTGTCACATTGAATTTGTCTGTGTGTTATGTAATCGGTTAGGAAACGGACCGATTACAAACATGGTACAGTAACACTATAATAGGGATGGGGGCTCTGTTGGAGTAGGACAGAGGGGGAGGGGACATGTTGTCTTTGTTCAACTGCATCAGTGATTTATTACATTCTGTATGACTTTAAATACCAAAAAAAAAAGACCTGGACATTTGTCTAAGACGAGGGCCACTCATACTCCAAACCATTCAATACACGGATTAATATCCATGTTCAAATAGCTGCAACACGTGTAGATTTATTACTTAGCCTGTGTTTTAACACCACTGTAGTGTGTGGAGCTGTGGCGCAGCCACTCCAGTGTGTGGTTGGTAGAAAAATTATAATTTACACAGTGCTCTTTGCTCCCTAATGACTTTTATTCTCTGTTTCAGTCAGTCAGATCTTTTGTCTGATTGTTTATTTGTTTTGTGTTCCAGTTGTTTTCACCTGTGGCTGATGGTCACTCAGATTACCATTGTTTTGACATATGTATATTATTTTTATAGTGTGATGTATAACCCACCTAATGAACAGGTTTTTGGATGCTTTTCCTCCAAATGAAATATTAAGCCACAACATCAAAGATTTTTCATTCATAATGGATTATATATGTTGACACCGTGTTATAAAATTAACTGAATGTGTCAAATCATCTGTGCTTGAGGAAATTACATTTATGATGCTGATGGTTCCAGGACTGTTGGAGTATGTATGAACTTACTGACTGAGATCTACCTCATTCTCCTATAGTGGTCTGCAGGGCCTGTGGGTGGAAATGTTTTCATCCAAATTGGGGATTACATCCAATCGATATCTTTGAAGAGGGCTGTTCTAAATAAAAAGTTCCATGTTCTACATGTCCACCCATCCCCCAACATTTGTCCAAAAACCTGCTTCCTCTGGAGCTCCTGACAGGTTAGAACAGCTCTGATAAACCCTGGAGATATGATGACTTGTCTTGATAAAATGCTTTTACATGTCTGGTTTTCTAACACGGGGAAGCTTGATAAATGTGAGTCCTGGTATTACTTTCATGTGACTTAGATTTGTGGTAACTCACCAGAGAAGGAATTGTCTGCAAAGCGGAGCAGAAGGCTGCTTTTCCCCACATCTGAGAGACAAACAGAAACCAGAGGGACAGGATTAACAATAACTGTGACCATTCAGGCAAACCAGTTATGTCTAAAGTTTACTCTCAGAATGACAAGACCATCCCATCCTGACTGACAGCTTCCTTCCAGTAATGTCATAAACTAAATACGTAGGTTAGGGTAACAGAAGTGAAACTAAGCATGAACTAAGGGCAGGTTGGACTCATACTGAAAATGTGTGATAAAAAAGTGGCTGAAATCCTGAGAAAACCTGAATAAGGTGCTGAAAACAGCCCTGAGAGAACCAGTGGCAATTTGTTAGAAAGAGATTTGACAAAAACCAGAATGAAGCAGGAGCAGAATGGGAAGTCACATAATTACTAACACTAGGTTACGCTCAACAACAAAATTGTCTCGCTAAGAAATTGTAGTAATTGAGGATGAAGATATTCAACTTTCTTTACAATAAAGTGGCAAAAGAATAAATGTCTGCAGGCAAAGAGGAAAACATGTCACGATGATCCATCACAATACTCAGGATTTGTTCCACATCACTATAGAGTCCGAGAAGTGACAAATGTCACTAACAGGCTGCCTGACCAGTCAGAGCATTTTTGAATCCATTAATAAACAATTCAAACAGTTTGTTTAAATAATGCCAGTCAAGCCAGATCACAGAAAACCAGAAACAAACTGTTGTAGCTTCTGACTATCTGTCCTCAAACAACACTAAAACCTACAGAAAATGTGTCCTCATTCAAAAGTGAAACAGACTAACTCTAAAGATAAAACCTCCTCCCTCCATGAAACCAGGAATCATTAGGAAACGTTACAGGAAAAACTGTTCAGGGAATTGTTCCAGTGTAGGAACATAAATCCCTGATGATAATATCACTGGGAATCCACCTTGTACATAAATAAATCCTCATAGGTCAAATGTAAAACAAGAACAGAGAACCAGCTCTGAACTGAAAACATTTCAAAATGTATGTGAGGTGTAAATCTGTAGGATAAAAAAGGACTCCCTCCCATAAAATCTCCCTGAAACCATCTCCTCAGAGGTGAATTTTTGGGGCCACTGAGCTTTCACCAGTACCACTAGTTACTGGCTGTTACAACATGTGTAGTGTTTACAATATGGTGGACTGGAGCAAGTGCTCACAAGTGTATGACTCCCCAGCAGTTATACAATGAAATCTAATCACTGCACAAAAATAATTTCCTGCAGGGAGGAAGGTGATCTACAATGACTCAGCATTTCCTGCAGCGGGTCTAAAAACAGATTTTTTTTTTAATGCCCCCAGTCACAATCATAATCAGCTTTATCATAAGAACAAGTGGGGAAAAAACAGATGTTCTGTGACTTCTTACTCTCCAACAACGACAAGAGTCTGAGCCAGAATTTGATCGGCAACAATAATAGGTTAGGAATTGATAAAATAAAACAATTCCCAAAAGCAGTGTTTATGTTTGATACCAAAGCTCTGAGGCCTGTTTCAATATTCCACAACAGTGATGTCTGAACTGCTCTGAAGATCGAGCAGTTTGAAACTTAAAACAAAACACGACTGATGAAACTGCTTTATTTTGACAGTGTGATTCAGTCTGTGGTTTTCCATGTCAGAACTTGTGACCTTGATCCTAATGAACTTCTTTTAAACTCTGATAAATATTTTTGGGTGTTATTCGGGCTTTAAAGCAGAGAATGAGAGAAATGCCAAGTTTTTCATAATGATGCAGAATTTTTTTTTTTTAAGTCCAGGTTCAGGTCAACACAAGCGCAGGCACATGAAGGTCACAATTCCTGACATTCATTCATCATTATGGTGGTACAACAGACTACTGTTTAATGTGGAATAATCAGCTGTAGGTAATGTGCTGAGGAATCCTCAGAAAGCTTCATTTTGCCATCATCAGAAAACAGGCTCCTCTGTCAGAGCACACGTCCACTCCCTGCATGCCCTCTCTCACATGAACATCTATAAGTTACTAACTTCAGCCCTCTTGATAAAAAATGTGGAGGTATCTGAAAAAATACCATCAATCTGAAATATCTAATTCACTTAAACCTCACTGAACCTGTGGTTCCCATACTGCAGAGTCACACATGACCAGAGGGAACGTGGAGTAACACTTAAGTTAAATAGACCATTGTCACAGTCAAACACAGATAAAACTAATAACATGATTAATTGCTGAATTGCACTGCAAAAACTACTGGAACAAAGTTAATGTTGTTCGTTCCATCTGTGTGCTTCCCGTTGTCTGCACACTAACAACTAATGAGGACCATGCTTTAAAAGAATCATGCAGTTCATCTTCTTGATGATGTTATTTCAATGAAAATCTACTTGGTTCCTTTTGTTACTCGCTTCCTCAGTTAACCAGCTGATACAAATCTTGTAGACTTTGGGAATCACTGACTTATATTCACTTGCATATAGCCTATTAATGCCATTTGTCTCCTCTGGGACTCCTCTGCTAAACAACCTGCTTTGTTAACAACTCAAAATGCACTAACTGGAGTCTCCAATGATGAGCAGTTTAAAGAGATGATTGTAGTCTTTCCCCGCCATCTGGATTGGCCTCTTACTGTATTTCCAAGTAAAATCAGTTTCATAGGAGGAGGTGATTCCCTATTCTTCCCAGTGTTGTTTGTTTGTTCCACCTCCCAATGCTACGAGCTCAAAGTAGAGCTAGAGTTTGTCCAAAAATCACAGGCGTTCCCCTGCCGATAAGAGAACATTTCCAGTTGAATTTCTCCACTTTTCAGTTTTGATTTATCCTTAAAGTTCAAATGTTCACATCATTCTCTTTGGTTTCAAAGTGAAACCACAGCAGCCAGCAGAGTATGGAACATTTCTCGAGAGCTGTGCATTTATGATTCATGCTTGACGGCTAAGACTGGTCGCATGGCTCCACCTTAGTTCCAGTTCCACCCAATGAAACTCATTCAGGGTATTTCCAACTTGTGACGACTTATCGATTTTGACATCCACAGTTCTGTCAGTGCAGTGCGGACACTCCCTCCTGTCTCCTTTGGATGCAGTCCAACATTGAACGTAACGTCTTCACAGAGGTCTACGCATTTAAACACTGATAGTCACTCATCTAAAGCTCCGTGATAGAGGGGTGACATTCTGTGGTTGTTGCTCTGACAGCCAAATGGACGGGTTACTTGACAACTGATGGTAAATCCAGTTATTTCTCACTCATTAACTCCATCCCTTATTTAAAATAAGTGAGAAACTAAGATGTTCCTCTTTTCACAGCATTCAGTGGTTACATCTGCTGAGGTTCCTTTCAGTTGATCCCTTAATTTCGCTTCAGTTCCTCTGGTCGTTGGGTAAAATGTCAACCATTCCCTGTTTCATTACAAGAGAATGGTCTCACTTCTCTCTTCACCAGCCCAGGTTTAATGGGTGCTAAACAAGAAAAGAGACAAAAGTAATATAAGGTTAGACCAAATAACATCAATCAAGCAGCTCACCACAGTTCATTTTTGATTACTGTTTGCAGTGTGTGCCCCTCCTTACCTCCCTCCCTGTTCTTCAAACAACAGCTGAGTCACTAAATATAACTTCCTCATCCTGCTTTATCCACCCCCATCCTATAACTTAGCTGGGTAAGCTAGGAAGCAACAACACAGGCTCCTTGACTGACAGAGTGAAGCTGAGCTAAATTGGGGAAGTAGAGCTAGGCTAGCTAACAATTTTCCATGAAAACAGGAAAGGCTGCCTGTGAAAGTATTTAATGGGACGTTGCTAATGCGAGCAAATCTAGACCCAGTACGCGATGGTTTGCGAGCAGAGCCGGCCACGAATCCCCGCTTAAAAACTTTACATTAATGATTCTTTGCATATTAGCAAAGGTTATCACATTGTCCAATACAATTACAGCTCTTGTTCACTCTTTCATTGATCACCCTTCAATTCGGCCCACACGGACTCCCCCAAACTGTATTTGTTTTAATAAAAATATGCAATTTGAGAACGAGTGTTTGCCGGTTGGCGAGAGTTTGGCCGTGTGTTCAACTGAGGACACGGAGGACGACGACGACAGCTTTGTGACGTGCAGTAAATAAACACTGAAATTAGCACACAATCAATATTTGATTAATTAAGGTATGAAACCTGCTGTATGAGAAGAAAAAAAAAACCTTGAGTCATTTAATATGAGGTTAGAGCACTTGCCCATAGACGAGCTGATTTTTGCAAAGATTTTGAACGTAGTTTGGCGTAAAATTCCCTTCCGTCAGCACAGGTCCACAGCGGGACATCCACGACAGTACTGGTACAACGGAAGGTTGACATGAAACTGATGTCTAAATTTTGTAATGTCTAAAAGGAACAGCGGTAATCGGAATATGTTTCATTAACTTGGTTGCAGTTGCGCCGTTGAAGCAAGGAGGCTAATGTGTGAACAGCTCACCTTGTCCGATACGTTCTTGGTTTGGGAGAACTAAGCCAAACTTCCCATGGAAATCTATTACTTTTCGGAAAAACATATTAATGATGCTACATCTTAGCCTGAATTACTCGTGAAGACATAACAATAACGTCTTGAAAGGCGTTCTTCAATTCGGCACACATCAAATCACGTCATACTCAATCGTTAAACCATAATTTCTTCCAACGGTCACGTAAGTCTCAGCTGCCACAACATTTGCCGTAGGAGGTAATCCACGAGAGCTATGAAACAGCAAATTAAATACTATTTTCTTCGCGTTAAGCGCCAACTACTTCAACCGGAGCAACAAAGAAGCCTAAAATAACCCATACAAAACCGCTTATGTGTGTTTTTTAGGATGGGCAGTGGTGTTGATAAGCAAGAAAACGCTGCAACTTCCAGGATCTTTTATCCAGTCTGGAGTGACGGTCTCTGGGCCTGACCCTGGCCTGCCACTGACTCGTACTCAACACCCAAGACGTCAGAAAACTTCTCTCCTTGGAAAAACTTTGAACGACCCTGATTATAAAAACTTACTGTGGTCGTCTGGTGTACTTTGTGCTCGTTTGGTGGGTCATGTTGACAGATATGCGGTAGACGTTGTTTTCGTTCCGGTGAGGTCCGCTGGATCACCGCTCCGGTCGGAATGTCTCCCCGCCGACCACACCTGACTGTGTGCAGCTGATGACCCACTCTCATCATCTGGTGCTGCGTTCAAGTCATGTGGGAAAACCCCAGATTCTGTGCAACAGCCCTGTCCCAACTCACGGTGTATTACTAAACCTCTTATTTAATCAACTGAATTTAGTTCAAATGACACAACATTAACAAAAATAAAGGATACAACACAAAAAAGGACACAAGGTACACTGATAATTAGAAATAAAAATGGTTGATAAAAGAGTATTCAGTGTACACAGTTTTTATCCCTATAGTGTTTTAAAATTAGGTTTCATCTCATTCTTGAATTCAATTTGAACAAATGTCCGCATTTATAGAAGGGAATGTCATAAAGGGCTGATTAAGCCTCTGCCATGGTAAACACAGTCAGTGCAAACATCAACTCTGACAAATTAGTGAACAAAATCCAAACCATCTCTTATTAAGCGTAGTTAATTTCCACTAAAACTGTAAGTTAAAAATATCCTGCAGTTATCTTACACTAATACCTGGTTGTGTTTTAGGGTTTGCACAGTCAATTTATATCAACAATTGTCAAGCTTGAACTAAAATTTGCTAAAATACTGCATCCAAATCTGACTTAGTAATGAGACTTTTGTGAAACGAAACTACCAGTAAAGACACATGTAACACTGATGTCGCCATCCCAGTTTCATTATTGCAACACCAGCAGGATCTAGTATCCGGTCAGTTATTGTTGAGTCATTGTTCCATTCCACAGCTCGTTTCACCCTCAGCTTAGACAAGTAGTAAAAATGCTAGAAATGCATTAGTAATTCTATCATAATTTCAATTGAAGTAAACTGTTGTAGTAGAAATTTATTCCAAACAAAAGTGTGTAATAATCTACTACTCTGTACAGTGCAGTAACCAACATGTGCTTTATACATCCATTAATATATACATGACAACTCTGTGGACATGGAGAGAAGAATAAACTCAGGCTCCTCGATTTTATGTAATCACAAAATTTTATGCGGATTATCTGTCTGTCTGTAATGCTACAAACATTATACACAGCTCATTTAGAGCAGAAACACCTTTAGACATGATTTATAGGTTATTCTCTTTTGGTCTCTTGAAAATTACTAGAAAAAAAAAAAAAAAAAAAAGATGTCATGCGTTTTTGGCTGCAACACCAAATCAAAATATATGGAAATACTGTGTTTTTCTTGTCATTTCAAGTTATGGTGATGAAGTAATATGTCACCCAGTGCAACAGTGAGGTTCACTGATGTGTTTTTAGTATGGAGCTCTATGGCTCAGAGGAAGAAGATACATGAGGACAATATTCGTTAGCAGGACACATTCACTGTTGGTTTGGCTCTGCACATGGGATTGACGATAGTAGGAAAATATCAGACTTATCCTGTAATTTTGATGGACCACAGCAAAACCAAATTTCACACAAATAAAATGTACAATTGCCTTTTATTATTATTAACCATTTTCAACAAAGAAATTAACCACAATTCAGTTTCTGCTCACATTACATGGAAATCGCATATCTGTTACATGATAATAACCAAAATACAGACAGCTCATATCTACAGGTAGAACGCAATAAACGGTACAAGTACAGAGGAACATTGTTAGAGTTACATTTTACTCAGCTGTGTTTATGTGTGTGAATGTGTACGTTTCTTATTCAGCTCATAAAAATAAATGTACAAGCCAGCCTTGGGTCATCGCTGCTTAAAAAAAACAAACACATTGGTGATTACTGTGTGGTGGCTCAGAACGAAAATGAGTCCCCTGACATTCACAGATGTGTATCTACTGACCGCTGGCTGTGAAGTCCATGTTGTGGCCCAGTTCAAACCAGCCAGAGGCGAACAGAGAAACAACATAGAAGAAGTAGTGAGGCGTCTCTGAGTTGTCAGCTCATTTCCTTCGTCTGCTGGTTGACGAGCGGCTTGGTGACTGCCTGCTGCCGCTCCTACCGGAAGAAAAAATAATAAATCATCATTTCTTAAAGCTTGGGTTAAAACTGTGTTTAAACTGTGTTGCATAAAAAATAAACCTATATTTATATAGATCGTTTCCATAAACACCACAGGTCTGATGCAAAATAAACAGATAAAAGTACATTAGAATGAAGACATCCCACAGCCATCGCAGATGTAAAAACAAAGAAGGTCAAGTCAATTTTAGCAAACTTTGCATGTTACACTGGGGGCTTTGTGTAAGATTTTTACGTA